CAACTACCCAAGTATGAGAAGCAGTTCATTACAATTAATTCCTAACCGTCAATCAGCAGAGCCTTGGGTGACATCCACTCTTGCAGGATTACTTTGCACAAAGCGCATACCAAACGGAGCAGCATAATTTGTTACTCCGTTAAGTGCACTTTTCGCGTCCGCCATGCATTCAAGCAGACAAGCGATGTTCTCAGTGTACTCTAAATGGTACAGCCCAATAAATACCAATATTTTAGAAACCACTCAATGCGCTCTGTACTATTTCATCTACAATGAAGTTGATTAGGACTGGCGAAATAGCGCCTACCGTGGACGCATACGTTACCAGAAGTATGCAAATACAGTTGCCTCAATATGTTTAAGTACCTCTGGTGCATCGATTTTGGTAGAGTTAACCCCGTAATGCTTTGCGATCAACCGATACGTAGGGTAGTTTTAGCTCACGGAACACTGTGATGGTTTGCCAATGTGTCTGGTGTTTCTCGAGTAATCAAGGCAACACAGATTTAGTGGCTGCAATCGCGACCTGGTCGGAATCCTGCTTGTTCGTGAATGTGTATTAAAAACGTCAGACATGGGAGTATGACGGGGTGTATCAGTTGGAGCAATCTTCGATTATTCCCTGATACAGCTGCTATTGTTGCCTATCAGTTTTCTCGGTCTTTCTCGAGGCCCTTCGTGATCGGACGTTGCAGACTCCACCTACCCGTTTCCGTCCTAGCCGGTCAGGATTTGTTTTTTTTCCATCAGGGCTCCTGGCCCGTGAAATTACGAATGCCTTGGACCGGTTTCACACTCAGATCCACAAACAGCGTTTGGTACAGAAGGCAAAGAATCGAACAATAGTTGGACTACCTGAGTAGTGGATCACATAGCACTACCCACCCCGCTCGAAGCAATGGTCAGCGCGGTACGAACGATGCAGTACAGAATTAGGTTTGCGTTTTGTATGCATTGGAGTTTGACCAACGGGTTCTTCTAGGGTATTCAGCTACTAAGCAAGAGAACGATTAGTGTTTTCCAAAAAGGCCCGCAACGTCTGTTCCAACCACAGGGGCATAAGTCTGATTGCAATAGCGCTGAAGCTGCTGGCGTCCGTTTTATTGCTCAGGTTATGCCCATTCCGTGTGAAGCATATCTGCGAGGTGCAGGCCGGGTTTCGTGCACGCCGTGGCTGCCTAGATCAAATCTTCACCGTCCGTCAGCTAATAGAACACCGCCACGCATACAGACGAGAAACCATTGTCGTGTTTTTACACATCAGAGCGGCTTTCGACTCTATCGATCGTCCCCCACTGTGGAACTCTTTGCTGAGATACGGAGTACCCGAGAAGTATGTCTCACTCCTAAAAGCGCTCTATCACCAAACCTCGGGGAAGGTCAGGGCCTATGGTGAACTTTCACCCTCATTTCCTGTCACCAGTGGGGTGCGACAGGNTATCTCTCCGTTTTTCTTCAATTTTGCCATAGATGATATCCTACAAAATACGTTACATAACGTAACGAACGCTGGCGTCGAGCTTCATTCTGGGGACAGAGTCGTGGATTTAGAGTATGCCGGTGATATTGCCTCACTGGGTGATAACGCGCCAACGATTCAAGAGTCATCGAACCGTTTGGCAATTGAGGTTACTCGCTTTGGTATGTCCTTTGCACCTTCAAAGTGCAAATTGTTGTTGCAAGATTGGAAGGAACCCATTCCTGCACTTTCGTTGAATAATGAAACTCTGGAAGCAGTCGAAAGCTTTGTCTACCTTGGGAGTTGCATAACGGCTGGCGTAGGTGTGGCCGAGGAGATCTCTCAACGTATGATCAAAGCTAGGTTAGCGTTTGCTAATCTGTGGCATCTCTGGCGCCGGCGCGACATATCCCTTTCATTGAAAGGGCGTGTGTATTGCGCAACGGTACGCACCGTGCTGCTCTATGGCTGCGAGACCTGGCCTCTCCGAGCAGATCACGTCCAGCAG